CCTCCGCCAAAGTCGCCAAACAGAGCAAAATTCACAAGTCGTTTGGAAGTAATTTTTGGATCGATAAGAGCTATAAATGTCAAACAGATGAAAAATACTTGTTGAGATCTTCAAAACTCTAATAGGGAGTCTTCTTCCTACGCAAAATTCACAAGTTGTTTCGATTTAAGCCCTACCCCACCCCCCTCTCGACCTGTCATGGGCAAAAGACGATGGCGCAGAACCAAAACAGATGGAAAATATACTTGTTGCACCAAGAACTGGAAGAAAGGGAGAACGGAAAGTTGGAGTGATTGATCTACCAAGAAAAGAACTCCATCCGTTCGAACCATGAGAGAATCGTGTTCAAACCATGATAGACTTGTGTTCAATCCTTCTTTAAATAATGTTTAACCATTTTGTAACCTACTCAAGTATGTGCTCAAACCATATTTGAGCATGATTCAAAAAAGGTTCAAATATATGTTGAGCATGGTTCAAATTGATGTCTAAGATAGGTTCAAATATATTTCTCTTCAATCGTCTAGGTAGTTGAAATAGAACTACATCAAAATGCCCTAATTTCCTTTGATTATATGGTACGTATAGATTCAAAAATAAAAAATGAATAAAAAATTTAACCTTGTTTTTGGTGGGTGTTGTTAGACTTATTCTTTGATTGAACTTCACCCTTGTTGTGTGTCTAATCCCATTGAATGAAGAAATTTGAAACGAAAGGGTGATAACAATCAATATGTTAAGTGTCGAAGGGCCTAACTCATTCTTTTTTAAACAATGAGAATACAAATATTGGAAGGTTATTTTGGAACAAAATAATAAAGTGTCATACCTTTTTTTTTCCTAAAAAAATCAAAATAATAGGTTCATTTGGACAATCACGACTGTTATAAGTCATATTCCTGTTTTTCTTTATTTTTAATTAAGTAATTCTTAATTTTTTACTTTTAATTCTATGAAAAATTAATATAATTCATATGCATATCAAAAGTAGTTTTATTAAACGTATACTATCTATGCATATACTTCAACACAGGAATTCCATCTTGGCCTACTATCTTTGGTGCAAATGACTTATTCCTCGTTATGAAAACATATCCTTTAAACCATTATTACAAAACTAATGATTTTCAATGTGAAAGATGTAAGATTTGTACAAAGGAGTCATATTTGAGGGAACATAAAATCCTTACTATCTTCTTGCCACACTTGAGAAAAGCATCATCAGTACATAGATATATGATAAATCGATCAAGTAAGATAAAATCAGTCGAAGAGATAGACATAAATAGTGGACCAGACGTTAATCAGATAAAATTCATCCAAAATGATTTGTCAATGATAGGTTTAATAATGCTTGGTGCCTAAGAGAGATTCATAAGGCTGATCCCAAATAAATGGGATGGCTTATAATAATGGCGATGATGTCTTTTCTTATGGAGCAACTCTTCATTCTAAAAGCTTATTCTTTTAGTGTTCTTTTGTATGCCAGGCTTTCGAGCTAGCCTTTGTCAAGGAGTTAAAAAAATAATAATAAGAATAAAAATAAATAATCATTGCTGACATCTTGAACTAAATTTCATATGATTACACATAAAGGATTCTACCATATTTGGGATTTTATGTATTTCATTCATTTTTTGATCGAGCAATATTCATTAATGCGGTATATTCTGTCACCCTTGAAGTGTCGTCTCTTTGAATCTGTATATTGACACAAGCTGAGTTTTTTACTATGCACAAGTCAAAGCTATAACTTCATATTGCCAACAAGTTCTCTGCATTTATGATTATAGGCTTTCCTTATTAACATATGCTGGGTTTATGTAAAATATTGTCTTTTTTTTATTGCCAAAAGTTTTTGTTTTCTCATGATCCTCCATCCTTGTTAATTAATAACCCCAACTATGTATGGAGTATCCATTGTTTTATAAGGAGGAATACAAGCCTATGAAATTATTGGGCTTATTTATTGCTTCATGCTAAAATATTGATTTTCCCAGAAAGCCAACTATATTCTCTCCTAACCTTTGCATTATAATCAGATGGCCTTGTTGGCAAAGGAATGTGTGGATGAGGACCCTATTCTGCGTCCAGACATGAAGCAAGTTGTGATTTCTATATCTCATATTTTACTCTCATCTGTGGAATGGGAGGCCACCTTGGCCGGAAACAGCCAAGTTTTCAGTGGTCTTGTTCAAGGAAGATGAGCTTATGATCCTATGTTCATTTCTTGTTCTTCTACCACAAATTGGTTGCATCCTTAAAGTGTATTTTACTTTTTCTGCTCCTATTCTGGAATGCTTTCAATTGTTTGCCTTAGGCAAATATAGTTTTTTTGTTTCCTCTTATTCATTTATGCTGTATGGAGTCAATTACTGGAGGCATGGTTATTGTATTTGTATTGCGTGGGATTACTGCTTCCCTTTTTCCCAAATGTAAGTTTTCTTGCATAATTTCTTATATTAAGAGTTGATTCTTATTTTATTGTTTTATATAGCCAAGATCTTAAAGATTTAAACTGGTAGTTGTTTCTTTGTCAATTATGAGTGAAATCAGTATTTTCCTAGTTTTTTTTGTTTTTCTATTAAATATATTTTTTATTTTATTTTAGTTATGTTTTTATTTGAATTAAAACATGCTTAGTTGGGATACTTATTTTTAAAAATTAAAAATTTTGAAAAATTATACTAATAAAAAAGTTCTCAGAAGTAAAAGCAAATATAAAAATAAAATTGATATCAAAGTGGCCTTTAGCATAGATCTCAAACGAAGTTGTCAGCTTTTTCTCCCATTCTAGGGACGGGAAATTTAGCATAATGTTGGAACATGTTGGTCCAACGGTTCCAGTCACGCCATCAGTCTTGTGGTTTTATGATGAGGTATGATTTGAGTTCATACAGTATTTAGGGTGTGCTGTGATTTCTGCTAGAAGTATCTTGTAGTACGGCGGCTTACTTTCATCTGGAATAAAATGCTGCTGTTCCCTCACGTCGAAATTTATATCGGCATTGAATTGAATCGATGTGATTCACATTGCGTTGGACTTGAATTTCATGATTTTGTTTTTCTGGGCGAAAATTTAGGTGATTGATTTAGTTGGACTTCTTAGCTTGGTCACTTATTTGGAATCCTACTTAGTTGTTAGTAGAGGGGCAACTGCCTGCTCTTTACAGTTGAACTGCCATCCATGGTTTTGGAGGCGGCAGTTGGTAGGCCATCTGGTATGATTGTGGTTGTGTGAGCAAATAATTGCCTTTAGTTGATGGTCCCTTTCAAGTATGACTCACAATCATCCATTGGTGCCAATAATATCTCTTTTAACTTTACTTTGATCATTATCACTTCTCAAATATAGGGCAGTAAATCCTTTATAATTTTTAACTTATATTAACGAAATTGTTTCAATTGGCAATATTTTATATTTTTTTTGGCCAGGATTTTATCAAAAAAAAAAAATTTCTCTTATATACCACTTTTAGCTTATCTAGGGATTTTCATGTAACCTTGAGGAATTAAATTATCATTATCAGGAAGAATGTTCCTAGTTGTTACTAGGGGTGTAAACGAGCCGAACACGAGCGAGCCCAGGCTCAGCTCGTGTTCCATTCGTTTATATTTCGAGCTCAAAAAAAGTGCTCGTGTTCGGCTTGTTTGCTTAGCGAACTGAACACGAGCCGTTCACGAACAAAGAGTTGGTTTTATTGGGCTTATTTATTGCTTCATGCTAAAATATTGATTTTCCCAGAAAGCCAACTATATTCTCTCCTAACCTTTGCATTATAATCAGATGGCCTTGTTGGCAAAGGAATGTGTGGATGAGGACCCTATTCTGCGTCCAGACATGAAGCAAGTTGTGATTTCTATATCTCATATTTTACTCTCATCTGTGGAATGGGAGGCCACCTTGGCCGGAAACAGCCAAGTTTTCAGTGGTCTTGTTCAAGGAAGATGAGCTTATGATCCTATGTTCATTTCTTGTTCTTCTACCACAAATTGGTTGCATCCTTAAAGTGTATTTTACTTTTTCTGCTCCTATTCTGGAATGCTTTCAATTGTTTGCCTTAGGCAAATATAGTTTTTTTGTTTCCTCTTATTCATTTATGCTGTATGGAGTCAATTACTGGAGGCATGGTTATTGTATTTGTATTGCGTGGGATTACTGCTTCCCTTTTTCCCAAATGTAAGTTTTCTTGCATAATTTCTTATATTAAGAGTTGATTCTTATTTTATTGTTTTATATAGCCAAGATCTTAAAGATTTAAACTGGTAGTTGTTTCTTTGTCAATTATGAGTGAAATCAGTATTTTCCTAGTTTTTTTTGTTTTTCTATTAAATATATTTTTTATTTTATTTTAGTTATGTTTTTATTTGAATTAAAACATGCTTAGTTGGGATACTTATTTTTAAAAATTAAAAATTTTGAAAAATTATACTAATAAAAAAGTTCTCAGAAGTAAAAGCAAATATAAAAATAAAATTGATATCAAAGTGGCCTTTAGCATAGATCTCAAACGAAGTTGTCAGCTTTTTCTCCCATTCTAGGGACGGGAAATTTAGCATAATGTTGGAACATGTTGGTCCAACGGTTCCAGTCACGCCATCAGTCTTGTGGTTTTATGATGAGGTATGATTTGAGTTCATACAGTATTTAGGGTGTGCTGTGATTTCTGCTAGAAGTATCTTGTAGTACGGCGGCTTACTTTCATCTGGAATAAAATGCTGCTGTTCCCTCACGTCGAAATTTATATCGGCATTGAATTGAATCGATGTGATTCACATTGCGTTGGACTTGAATTTCATGATTTTGTTTTTCTGGGCGAAAATTTAGGTGATTGATTTAGTTGGACTTCTTAGCTTGGTCACTTATTTGGAATCCTACTTAGTTGTTAGTAGAGGGGCAACTGCCTGCTCTTTACAGTTGAACTGCCATCCATGGTTTTGGAGGCGGCAGTTGGTAGGCCATCTGGTATGATTGTGGTTGTGTGAGCAAATAATTGCCTTTAGTTGATGGTCCCTTTCAAGTATGACTCACAATCATCCATTGGTGCCAATAATATCTCTTTTAACTTTACTTTGATCATTATCACTTCTCAAATATAGGGCAGTAAATCCTTTATAATTTTTAACTTATATTAACGAAATTGTTTCAATTGGCAATATTTTATATTTTTTTTGGCCAGGATTTTATCAAAAAAAAAAAATTTCTCTTATATACCACTTTTAGCTTATCTAGGGATTTTCATGTAACCTTGAGGAATTAAATTATCATTATCAGGAAGAATGTTCCTAGTTGTTACTAGGGGTGTAAACGAGCCGAACACGAGCGAGCCCAGGCTCAGCTCGTGTTCCATTCGTTTATATTTCGAGCTCAAAAAAAGTGCTCGTGTTCGGCTTGTTTGCTTAGCGAACTGAACACGAGCCGTTCACGAACAAAGAGTTGTTTTGACAACCCTAATCACGTAGTCATAAGATGTTAAGGATTGGGGCAAGATTTAAAACGTCATTTGAATCTAAATTAATAATTTTTATTCTATTTTCTTCATTAATATTTTTAATTGATTATAAATCTTTGTAACATTGTAGTCAGCTAATTTTTTTAAAAATACTACTTATCAAAGATATATATGATTGATTAGTAGTATTTCGAGCCAAAACGAGCCGAAAATGAACGAACAAATATTTGTTCGTATTGTTCGTGTTCGGCTCATTAACTTAGCGAACGAATCGAACACAAGTTTCTTAACAAGCCGAACACGAGTTGTTCATGAACAACGAGCCGTTTTGACGGCCCTAGTTGTAACAATTTGGTTCCATCAAGAGGTAACTTTTTTATCTTTGTGAATAAGGAATTGATATTAAATGATAGACCACACATAAGAATATTAAAACTCGTATATACATTCATGACCTATTAAATCATTTGCTTTTGTTTCAACAAAAGATGATAGATTTATTTCAGAACTTCATAAAAGAAATTTGTAGAGCTTCTACAAGGAGCAAGTCAAAACTAGAGATTAATCTAGGTGTGACCTTCAAACAGGATTTACATGATGTGTGCAAGGAAATTTGTGGCAGTAGAATAACAAATTATCATCTTAGTGTGGTATGAAATTCATCATACACTCAGAAGAGAGAAAATAACTAGTAATGACATCAAAAGTTTTTTTGTGGAAAACCCAGAAAGGGAAAAAATGTGGTCTACTCCAGTTAAAGAAATCCACTATATATTGAATACTACATGTACAGTCTGTCGTCCCACGTGTGGAAAAGGGATGAGTTACAACATCAGACCACAAATTAACTTATTATAAGTGGGCAGCGACAATGATGATTGGTGGAGGGCAATAGGTGGTGGTTGACGACAGTATATGGTGATCGATGGTGGTTAGCAGTGATCGATTGTGGTCGACGGTGATCGACGACGGTCGGTGGTGGTCGACAGTGGATGAAGTGATGTTGGACTTGAAGAGTAAGAGATTATTGCTTAGTGTGGTACGAAGATTCAACATACACTTAGAAGAGGAAAAATAGCTAAGAATGATACCAGAAAGTTTTGGTAGAAAACCTAGAAAGGGAAAAAAAACCCCGGCGCCTAGCCACGATGAAACAATTCACTATACTGGATATTACATGTGCAATCCCTTGTTCCACATGCTGAAAAGAGATGATTTGCAACGTCGGTGCACGAATTAACTTATTATATGAAGTGGCCAGTGGCAAATGACAATTGGTGGAGGTCGACAGGTGGTGGTCGATGATGGTCTATGGTGATCGATGGTGGTTAGCAGTGGTCAAAGGTGGTTGGCGGTGGTCGACGGCGGTTGGAGTGACGTTGGACTTGAACTCGTCAAAACTTCATACTATTCTTCAAGATTCAAGCTCTCCTCCCCTTATGAGAGGTGTGGGGCTCTATTTATAGAGTTTTATGTGCAATTAATGTTGGAATATGAACCACATTGATTGGACGGTTTAGAGAGATTTCTATGATTAGACGTCATTTGATGGACGTTTGAGTAACTTAATGATGTCGGAATTGAGAGATCTTGGGTTCGTTGGATTCTTCTTGTCGAGACACTCAATTCAACTACAGACTTGCTAGATTCGACATTCTTTTGACCTTCAAAATATGTCCAAAAATCTTCTAGCGTGGTTTAATTACTTGATTTGAGCTTGATTTGACTCGGAATGGACTACTTATGATATCATTGAATCCGTCTTATAGAGTCAGTCAGTTTGACTATATGCTCGTTGAAATTGGAGCTCTGAATGACTTTTAATTAAATCTAGAAGATTTCTTGCTCAGAAGATTGCCTTAAAATTTGTGTTATGCCTCGAGAATTGTGTTTTAGGATGAAAATTTGTTGGTGGTGTATCAACATTAATGTCTTGGGCATTATTGTAGTTAGGAAATTCCTTCTCAATCCATCCATAATATAACGAGAACTCCACTTCACTCAAAGTAATCTTTGTTGACCTCACTTTTGGTTGAGGTCTAG